TATTTTAATTTCGAATTATATTTAAGTTTAGAAAAAATTTACTTATCGCATTATACTTATATATACTCTCGTTCTGATCAAAAAACTTCTATATGTATATGTATATATATTTTTTTGTTTTCTGCGTGTGTATATATATATATATACAATATATATATAATAAATTTCAATGTTTTTGTGTAACATACATATATACATTGTATAAATATATGTACAATATGTTACATAAAAAAATTGACATCAATAAAATTTATAAAATCTTAAGTGATAAAAAATCTATAGTAAAATAATATAAAAGCATACTCATGCATACTCATGCATATTCAAAATCAAATAAAATACATAAAATAAATAACATGAGATCCCAAAGAAATAAACGTTACTTTCATATAATATAATATATTACCAATAAAACGTTATATTATATTGTAAAACAAATTAAACAAAAAAATTTCCAGACAATTTTTTAATATTTAAGAAAAAAGAAAAAAAATTATTTAAATTTTACACCTATTAGAATATAACGGCATGGAGGTACATAAATAAATAATATTCACAATCACACTTAAAATTGTGTCACAGATATGTCCAAATTCATTTACTATTAATTACTATGTGTGTGTGTACGTATGTGATAATAAAACTTATAAGCTGTAAGTAATTCAACTGCGATGAAAAATCAATTAACCGATTATAAAGAAAGAACATAAAAGAAACTATAGACAAAGAGAAATAGCAATACAAAAACAAATTGTAAAAAAATTTAAATAGCATGAAAAAAGAATTTAATAGTAATACAAAAATTATATTTTTTAAATCTTAAAAAAATATAAATAAAAAAACGTAGTAATAACAATTTCATGATGGGTCGTTTCATTATTGCATCGCTGAAAATCAACAGTTTTTATTGAAAACATAAAATTTAAACCAAATCTTGATGTTAAATTCAGTTACCCAGTAGCAATGACTTTAACTAATGACGGCGATCAAAATAATTTTTTGTCTTTGAAAAAAATTATTATAAAAAATTGGTTACCACATATAACCGATCTAAAAAATTCTACGATCCTAATTCTGCAATAAACCTCTAATATCGCATTTCATACAGGTAAAATCTTATCAACTTGTTGCAAATTACTTGTCTTTGCTGCAGTTCTTTCGTGGCACATGCAAAACAAAAGTGCGGATTGAGCGACAAGCAAAGTAGCGATTAGCTTACGTTCGACGCGACGGATGCGAGACCAACAGTGAGATCGTTGCGAAAACGACCGGCTTCTCGTATCACGTTTAACGCGCGTCTAACGTCGACGAGGCTTTCATAACCACAATACTGAGAATCCACAATAATGTGTCACAACAAGTGCATAAATCACATGGCTGGTAGACGCGACGCGAGGCAATCCACTTTCTGGGGCGCTATTGCCCGCATCCCTCGTGCAAAAATTGTGGTTAATTCGGCTTATCGGCTTCCTAGACGTTAGTCTTACGAGACAAGCTCGACAGACCGGTAAACGTGGCGAGAATTGGGCACGTATTGCAACGATCTTACTACGCGGACCGTATCCCGAATTTCTACAAATTTCGAGTAAGACCCGGAAATGTTTCTGAAGAAACGCACCATTTATTGCACGTGCCATGAGAAAGCTGCAACAAAAATTTAAAGGACACACGAAAAATTTAAGAAAATTTACGGAAGGAATAAGATATTGAAAGAGTTGAGGATGGTGGAAATGCTACAAAAGAGAGATTCAAAAAGGACAGTGTGAAAGTGTATTTAACAATGATCCTTTCAACATACTTGAATAATTGAATGCTTGTTTTAAAATTTATTATTTATGCTGCTCCTTTTTACCGCAACGCATCAAAAAGTTATACTTATGATTAGTCATAATGTTAGTATACATTAATTAATGATATTATAATATCGATGTCATAATACTTAATATTGTGATTATAATAGTGTAACACATTTACGTTATGGTTAGTTTACAGCGTGATAATTTGGATAAAGTAACAGAAATTTTAAAATTGTATAAAAGATTGAGATTGCATAGTGTATTCAGATCAATATGCGGATCATGTACTATTGATGCAATAGTATCTGTTTTGTGTGAATAATTAAATACAATCTGTGATATCAATCTTTTACACAATTTCAAAATTTCCATTAACTTGTCCAAATTACTTCGTTAAATCCTATATTAACTGTGAAGTTATAGCATTGTTGTTATATATATGTTTACTGTTTTTTTATGTTTAGATTATAAAAAACTGTAACAAAGGTATGAAATAATTTATCAAAAATCATTGAAATCTTTCGCATAAAACAGATTACGAGAGCTGTGATGAAAGGAGTATTACACAAAAAGGAAATAAAAGAAGAAATGTTTGTAATAGAAATTAAGGGAATTCTTTCAAAGGTACATTGAATGTGTGCTAAGCTGTCGATATCGAATAGAAATATTTTGTATGAATATATTCATCGATGCAAAAAATCTATTTATATCTATCTTGAATTGAACAGGCATTACATCGGATATATCTGATTTGATAATCGAAAAGAAAAGAATCTATTCATTATTTTACATATTCTATATTGCATAACACTTCGATAACGAGTATTATGCAATATGGAAAATGTTTATTAATAAAATGTATGTTCGTTATTATTCTTTTGCAATTCTTTTTCCTCTTTTCGTTTTTATATTACTATTTCTTCTCTTCTTCCGCGAATATTTATTGGTTTTTCATAATAAAATGCATTTCACAGCTACAATATCTTCCGTACTCAGTAATGTGAGCAAGTGAACAAATTTTAAAAGTTATGCGTACTCAAAGCAGTGTAAGAATTATAGTAGGTTTGAAGAACATTTTTTTCTTTTTTTTCTATGACAAAATAGATCTATGATATATGTATTAATAATTTTTTTTCTAATTTGTTCAATTTAATTTCCGTCGGTTTATCGATACCCGAAAATCTCTAATGGTATCTTTTTTAATCGCGTATCAAATAAGAAATAATGACGTGAAATCTAAGAAGATACTAAATTTCAGTAATAATTATAAAATATTTATATATTGTGTGTTTTATCGCGTTATATCAACGCTTATAGCTGTGTTTTTCCATGTACATATTTCTTTATTATATTATTATTATTTATTTATGTCTTGAAAATTATTTGCATCTATATATTTTAAAAGTATACATTAATTATAAATATGAAATATCTGTTTTTTTATAAGAAAATTTTAATATCAACATTATAATAATTTAAAAAATTTCTGCTATGTAAATATTTCTAGGATCTCAAATCACATTATTTTATTTTGTTTGTTGTAAAATCAATTTGCCAATCAATCTGATGAATAAACTACAAAGCATTGTATTAAAATTGGCGCTCTATAAAAGTTAAAATTATCTATTTATATTCATATGTAACAACGTGTTTATATGCAAATATATAATAACTCAAATACATTACACTTAAACTAATTAAAATAATTTAATTGTAATATTTCTTATTTTTATAAGGAAGTATTTATATTTCACATAATAATTAGAAAATATCAATATACAAATATATGTATATTATGTATATGTATTATATATATTGTTATTTTGCACCAATTTATAAAATATTTAATCTTGGAGAAGTATTAAGAAGGGGGATTAGGAGAAAGAAAAATATTCCTATCTATAATTTAATCAATTTTTTCCTAACAAAATATAATTCTTTATTTTTATTTTACATATTGCTAATGTTTATCAAATCTTTAGAAAAACTTTATAAATTTTCAATATTTTGTTTTATGATTTTGTAATTCTATTTTATTTCTTTCTTATTTTGTGTTTATTTCAATAATTTTAATTTAACAAAAGTCTAATTATTTTAATAATATATATTTCCATATATGTATATATGAAACTATTAACATTTTTTATTATGCTCTAATTTTATATATTACTAGTTTGATTTTTGTTTTTTATATTTCCACAGAAAAGGAGGAATTTAACTTTAGTATCTTTTCATATTTAAACATCTCTTTAATTTTAATATATTGAATATAAATAATAGTTATCTATATCAATAAGATTTAATTTCGAATTTTTATTTTGTATTAAAATTATTTTTATTGAATAAACATTAATAAATTTTATTTCCTTTTTTTTTTTTATCTATTTTCGTACCTGTACGGGTGCAATTTTAAGCATAGCAGTACACAGAAAGAATGATTTTGATAAAATATCTAAAAATTAAGCTAAATAAATAAAAGGAGCTAAAATATCAAAATTTTGTATAGCTTTGCTTTTTTACAGTCTATATTTTATGATTAAATTTTCTATATAAAATTATTTTGATAGTACAACGTAATTATTTTCAAATCTGTATCTATCTAAATTTTTAGATATTTCAGCAAAATTTTTGAAATGCAAATTTTTTCCGTATCAAAGTCATAAATAATTAAAAGGAATCCAAGATTAAATATTTGTCACAATGTTTTATAATTTTTTCATTTTAAGGCAATGAATCCATGAAGTTATATTCGATATTCACTCGTGTGATACGATTGTAACAATGTGATATATAAACTTATATCTAATACAATTTTCAAGATTCATTACCTCATTAATAAAATATTTTATCACTCACCGATCGATGAGTACTAATAGAGTTATCGGCCATATAGCTATGATGATTCTGTAACATACAAGGATGAATTATAAATTAAAATAACGCTTAAAATAATCAATGATTTATAAGATATTTCTTATGCGCACAGAATTTGTTATTCACTTTTCAATCAAATACTGAAATAGTTCATTGTTAAAAAAATATCTTCATGAAAATGAACTTTTTTAATATTGAATTATTTTCTCTAATTATTTTTAAATTGAAATAAAATAATCCGAATAAATGAGAGAGAAGGAAGGGCTAATTTTATTGTAAGTAAACAATAATGCTTACCACAAAGTTCCTCCACCGACAACCAATGCCTTTCCTATGTTTCCTCCTTACAAGTTAACGGATCCTCTTATTTTTTGGTTGCACTCACACATGATACGGAATAGCGGAATTGTAGTATCGTCTTACAACACTCTAATCTGTAATATAAATATAATTCAAATAAATATAATGTCTAAAATAAATATATAAATATATAAATATTGAAGAACAATTTTATTGATCAAGTTTATGTATATAAGTAATCTCTCTCTCTTTCTTAGTTGTGATTTGAAATGATTCGATCTTTTTGATATAAAATTTAGTTAAAAAATAAATTTTATATTAATTATAAATATCTTAAATATTTTGAAATATTTATATATATTTGTTCACAATTATAAATATTTTACTAAATATTTTTAAAAATCTTAAAAAATAATACAATATAAAATATCTTATTTATTTGATAGTATAATATAACATGTTATGCAGTACGCAATTACATAAATCTAAAATGCTGTACTAGATATATAAATAATTATTTTCATCAATAGTAAATAATAAAATTAATTAATTATAAAATGCTTACCTCACGATTCTTTCGCCGTCATCCCTGTCATCGCCCCGGCTTTTATTTCATTTGTTCTTTTGTGTATTGCTATTTCTTCGTGCTACATCTGTTTGCAAAAACAAATAAATTACTAATTACAATTAACTGTGATTACAATTTACTACAATAACAATTGTACGTCTTTATCATATTTTATTTAATAGTTTCGATATTAATCACACTTAACGCGTATTTAATCATATTTACGATAGTGGACAAAATCAGAGCATAAATTACGACACGTTTGATATCCGCGATATTTCATAAATAAAACGCATTTAATTGTAAGATGATAAAGAGATTCGTTTTCTACGCGATTAATTTGATATCAAAAGCGATGCGACACAGCGGTAACGCGTCGCTGCGGCGATGTTACATTTTCAATTGAACAAGTACTGCGAAATGCGCATCCGATCGAATTAGCGCATGATTATCGAAATCTATTATACAATATTTCAGTGAAAGAATAAAAAAGTCGCTAAATAAATGTAAGTTTCACTTACCTATTAAATCAGTACCGACGCCATCTCATCCGGAGCTAATCTATCCCGAGCTGTCGTGTCCTACAAATGAAACGTGAATGCGTTAAGATAGCGAGAAAGTTTCGTTTTCGCGCGGACCGCGAACAACTTCACAAGTGACGCGGAGCGACGACGACGCTACGCGTCTCACTCTTAACTTTGTGTTTATACGTTTTCTGCATTTCGAACTATAAATAGTATATACATGCATTACATTGTAATAGAACAGGCATATACCATAACTATATATTCGTAGCATTCGTGATAAGTTGCTTTGCCAATTATTCGCACAATACACTTTCAGTCGGACAAATATTGAGATACGCATTTTAATAATTATTAGTAATATATAAGCGCCAAATTGATGTTCCGCGTCAGTTGAATATTGCAATGAGAAAAGTACAATGATAATGTAAGTTTTTTACCAATTAAACGCCACGCCGAAAGTATTTTTTATAATACTCGTTCCGTAGAATCAAAAGCAGTACGCCACGTTAATTTTGATGAAACAAAGTTAACCGCGCGCAAAAAACGACGCCACTTCACCATCTTAATCGCGGTGAATATGTATCGACATCGACGGACGAAACGAGACTGTCACTTGTCACCTGTCACTTGTCTTATCCGTCCCGTGTCCGTCGCGATTTGATCAAGATGGCGTCGTTTTTCACGCGCGGTGAACTTCACGCATCAAAATTAACGCGGCGTATTGCTTTTGATTCTACTGAACGAATATATTGCGAAAAATACTTTCGGCCGACAACAATCAGTGTACTAGTCCTATTAAATCTACATTACGCGATATTTAAAGTATTACAGAAAATTCATGCTCGTGAAAACAGCGATATTAATAATTACATATATATTAATAACATTAAATATCTTATTTAACACGTAAGATATTTGAAAACTGTTCAAGAACTAAAAGCGATCCCGCGATCGGTTCTTAAACATTCCTCGCATCGCGTGTGAAAATATCAATTTGACAATACTTATGTTACCTTGTTAATATAATTTGAACGCGCGATCCTTTCGAGCCCGTTTTCCGTCGTTTTATTATTCTCTGCAGGAACTAGGATACTTCTGGAGGGAAGATGTATGATTTACTCGAAGCCAGGAGTGCGAGATGTTTCAACGTAATATTATAGGACGCGATCCTACTCCTTGGAGTCGCAAAGTCGTAAAAACGCGAGAGCACGCGTTACACGGTATTTATAGGAGTCGCGGAACCTCGAACCCCACCACTCTCAAGTCAGCCAATGAGCGCAAGTCTTGCTGCGAGCGTTATATCCGAGCGCTCATTGGAGCGCGTTAGCTTTCGGAAAAGATATATAAATGCTACGCGCAAAAAATTTTCAGTCTTTTTCGGAATTTGAAGTCGTGCGTTTCGTGAAGATGGAGAATCCTGCACGTATTCAGAATGCGCTTTTACGATATTAGCGCATATGTAACACATAGTTAATATATATTTATCATTGAAAGCGCGTTCTGAATATGGAAATTATATTCTTTCTAAAAATAAAAATTAGACTAAAGGATGACCATCGAAGACTATGAAAAAAAAATTTGATCTTATAAAACAATAAAACAATTATAATTTATATTATACTTTTTAAAAAACAATCCTATAATGCATGTAATTTAACATTACAATTTAGTACGGACTCGCCCCACATTTGTTTACGATACCGTGATTTTATTGCCAATACGTAGCTATGTAGTTGCTAAATCGAAAATATATGTACTGGCGCTAATGTACGGACAATTTCGACGATTCTACGTAGAATGTCGGGATAGTTCTTAGACTGTTCAGTTTCTGCTATTGTCCAATTGAATTCGTTATTAGCCGCCTAGTGAGCAGCTGTAGTACTGAAATGAGCTCGCTTTCTATCCTGTCTTGTTACCTTTTGATTCCGCTCCGCAAGAACTGTGTAAGGAGGTCTATACGTGATAGTGGACTGATTCGACAGAGTTCTTATTGTCATTGAACTGTCAACTTAATCTTATACAATCTAATCTAAAACATGGCATAATGATTGGTGTTTGTAGATAAAACACGACGTTTTTCCTTAAAAATGGTAAGTTCTCGAACATTCGATGCGCATGAAGTAATTTGGGAAGGTAACCTCATCTCTCCTGAGGAATGAAACGTCATGTAAAGAAGCTTCGAAGTAAGCTCGAAAATACGCAGTTTTAAACATGATAACTACGTTAGCATATTTTTCCGTGCTTAATTCATCCGCAAGGGAAAATTCGTTACGTGCACGCTTTATAAGGGGAGAAAAAGTTATCATATGGTGTCCCAAGTGCATTGTCCTGTGTTTTATGCGTTTTTTTATATTCATTTCGAAAGCTGTTTCTAGGAATGATTTCAGTTTCTAATATCATTTTGGCATGGTGTGTGTAATTGATGTTTTTTAACAAATCTTTTCTTTTTGAACAAGAAGATGCAAATCACAAAGATAATGTTTGACAAAGATATAATTTGAGAAAAAAACGATATTTCTCTTACGTCAAATTTCTAGCTGTATAACATTTGTTCACAACGTATGGTACACTGGTAGAATCTATAATGAATAAAATATCTGTAATTTGTACCATGAATATATTATTCAAATTATATTACATAGCATCCATTTGAAGGATTAAAGAGGATTATGGCAAAGCCGATTAAGCCACATATTAATGATGTGCTTGTATAGAATATTTAGTACCATGTATGGCATTGTGGCTTTCGTTTTCTCTCTGTCATCTAGAATCTTGATAACGAATCTTTACATTCCATTTTGAGACGGCAAAGTAATATTTTACTTGTGTAAAATCAGATTATCATGATGCCATGGAGAGGTTTCCATTGAAAGGTACATCATCTTTGAATTCGGCAATTCCTCATTCAAATGCAAATGCCGTTACAACATATCATTCAGTTGATGCAAAGGTATGCTGTTTCAATCTGCATCTTCTTGCCTTACATATTATTTTTGTTGTACTTAGATTAATATATTTTTGTAAAATGTATAATCTTTATTTCCTTAATGGTCTCATAGACTATCATATGTTTCTTATGTGTATTAACATTTCATATACTTGCATACTCTAAAATTTGTCAGGAATATTAGAAAATTATGTATTTTATCTTTATTAATATAAATTTGGTTTAATGTATCTTTATTTTGTACTAAAATGACTGATCTCTAAGCTAAATTATAAAAGTAGATAATATTAGCATGTAAATCTTGTATTTTCAGAATATAAAGTATGGTGATATTACAGAGGATGTACGACTACGAACTGGAACTATAAGACGCGAAACAAATCTAAGTAGCGACGACGACATGTTGGACATCAATCATCACACATCTCATTCAGATAATAACGTGTTATCAGATTGCGTTCGCATCGACGATGCATCTTCCCATCGTAAGTCATTTAAGTTATTTTGTTTGATTTCATGCATGCATTATCTAGTTCCATAAATAATGTTACGTACAGCTTTTATTTATTTTTAGCGAGCATTATAAAGAAATATAGAAGAAATTTTACCAAGTTAAGCGTAAATCCATTTGTATAACCTTGGAATTTAGTAGTCTCATATCTATTGATACCTAATTTGTATCCTAGCTTGAAATATCATTTTAAATTATTCCTTCCTGCTGAAGAAAATTTCTGAGACCTCTATTGATCTGTTCAACTTATCTGTTTGTCTGCTCATCTGATTCGAAGTTTATCCTGAGTGATACTGGTTAAACAATTGAGCCAAATTTATTTGTACTTGTGGCAAAATGTGTAAGTTAACACAAATAATTGCCATTCTAATGTCAACTTAATTAATTTAAAAAAAGACAAAACTGTATATAGATATAGTTTTAAAAGACAAGTTAATATATCGATTTTAAACCTATATATTCAAATAAAATTTTTTTTCAAGCTAATAAAGTATTTATACTGTTATAATGGAGCTTTATATTCTTAAATGCTTACATTTATTATGATTTTAAATAACTTTAATAGACTACTAATGTATATTTATGTGTGTTTTCTAAATTCTAATAATGTATAATTAAAATAAAATATATTTTTAATTATACAGAAATATTTTCAAAAACTTATTCAATACTTTAAAGATATTTTTTACTTTTTTATAAATTATTTTACAATTTATTAATAAAAATGAAAAAATATATGTATGTTGTAAATATTTATATGTATTTCTACATATGTGTGAAATTTTGTCATGCTTATAACAGTAATTAATGTGTATATATGTGTATAAATAAGTATAAGTTAAGACACTAAAGTTTAAGTATATACACTGAAAAAGATAAAAATTAAAATAATATGCTAAAATGTTTTTTTTCGTTTTGCTTTAAAATCTTATACGTAATATATATCGAATTTTATAAATAAATTGAAAGTAGAAGAAAACGATACAGAGTATTCTGATTATTATATTTATTATTACTAATTGTATAAAAAATAAAATTACTAGTTTTTGTCTTACATATATACAATATTCTTTTGCTATGTGATTATTAAACTTTTTTATACATATACAGCAATGATTAAAAATGCAATTCTCAAAAATTGTATCAAAAGCATTACAAAATAATTTATTGTTATTATGAAATTTTAAAATTTATTAGTTTCAGTTGACTCTGATGACATACCTGGTATTGGACAGTATGATGATTTTCATACTATCGATTGGCAACGGGATATTGCGCGAGATCGAATGCGGCATCGTTATATCGTGAAAAAGAAGCACGATTCTATCTGGGGTTTGATAAAAGGAGCTCATGACGCATGGTCGGGATGGCTATGCGTTTTACTAGTCGGACTTTTCACGGGAGTGGCGGCTGGTGTTATAGATATTGGCGCTTCCTGGATGACAGATCTTAAATTCGGTATCTGTCCCCAAGCTTTTTGGTTAAATAAAGAGCAATGTTGTTGGAGCTATAATGAGACTACGTTTGATGGTGGAAACTGCACACAGGTACATATATGACTCTTTCTTTATTATAGCTCACAAATTTATTATACTTCCGAAGGCTATGTATTAAATTTTTTCTCAATATAATTAATAATATAATATCTTTTTCGCAGTGGTTGACGTGGCCCGAAGTATTATATCAGGCAAAAGAAGGGGCAGGGCCTTATACAATATCATATTTATTTTATGCAGCATGGGCGCTTCTGTTTGCAGCACTTTCTGCATCTCTAGTGCGAATGTTTGCTCCGTATGCTTGTGGCTCTGGAATACCTGAAGTAAATTTCAAGTTTTGCTCTTTTTTAGAAATATTATAAATATATGATTCGATAATACATAATAAGCAAATCTAATAAATATTTTTTTTTACTTTTACATTCTATTCACATACGTATATTTTTTCAGATAAAAACAATTTTGAGTGGCTTTATTATCCGTGGATATCTCGGTAAATGGACACTGATTATTAAGTCAGTAGGTCTGATTCTTTCCGTATCAGCGGGTTTAAGTTTGGGAAAGGAAGGTCCCATGGTACACATTGCATGTTGTATAGGGAATATATTTTCTTATCTATTTCCAAAATATGGTAGGAATGAAGCGAAAAAGAGAGAAATTTTATCTGCTGCGGCCGCGGCAGGAGTTTCCGTCGCTTTTGGAGCCCCGATTGGCGGTGTTCTATTTAGCTTGGAAGAGGTATTATTTGAAAATTAAATATATTTCAAAAAGCAAGTCTCAATACTTGTTAAAGCTAAGAATATTCTAGCAAAATATGTAGAATATTTTTTAATATCTATGTTTCTAATCAAAGTCTAATTTAAAGTTCAAAAATGTCAAAAAGAAAAAAATATCCTAAATATGTAACCCATATTTTGAAAGGCTGTAAAAATTATGTATTTGTTTTAGGTCAGCTATTATTTTCCATTAAAAACTTTATGGCGATCGTTCTTCTGTGCTTTGATAGCTGCTTTTGTACTACGTTCCATAAATCCATTTGGAAATGAGCATTCAGTATTATTTTACGTAGAATATAATAAACCTTGGATATTTTTCGAATTGATTCCTTTCGTCATGCTTGGTATATTTGGAGTACGTAATTTTTATTTCATATTACATGTTATTAAATTTATTAAAAGTATATATTTATAAAAACAAATTTTCGATAGGGAGTAATAGCAACGTTATTTATCAAAGCAAATTTATTTTGGTGCCGATATCGTAAAACTTCCAAATTGGGACAATATCCTGTTACTGAAGTATTAATTGTAACAGTAGTAACAGCAGTAATTGGCTATCCCAATCCATACACAAGGATGAACACCAGTCAACTCATTTACTTATTATTTAGCCAATGCGGTGTATCAAACGCGGATATGTTATGGTTAGTAAATACGCTAAGATTTCACTATTTTATCTGAAGATATCATTTATAACTTAACTATAAATTACTAAAATATGCAAATTTAATAATTGCCTATAATTAATTTTTATCAGTATGGTATAAAATCTATAAAACTAACATGTATATTATTGAATATATTTAAATTATTCAAGAAATATTTTCTGCTCAACAGCGATTACAATAGAAACTTCACTGCTGTGAAATCTGCAATCGAGATTGCTGCAGCTGGCCCAGGAGTCTACAAAGCTATATGGCTACTTGTATTGGCACTGATATTAAAACTCATTATGACAATATTCACATTCGGCATGAAAGTTCCCTGCGGTTTGTTTATTCCTTCTCTCTGTCTGGGAGCGATAATGGGTCGTATTGTGGGAATAGGAATGGAACAACTTGCTTATAATTATCCTCACATATGGATGTTCAGCGAGGAGTGTTCTATGGGTGTTGACTGTATAACACCTGGACTGTACGCGATGGTCGGAGCTGCTGCTGTCCTTGGGGGTGTAACTAGAATGACGGTTTCTTTAGTCGTCATTATGTTTGAATTAACAGGCGGCGTACGATATATTGTACCTTTAATGGCTGCAGCTATGGCGAGTAAATGGGTCGGCGATGCTCTCGGGAAACAAGGTATCTATGATGCTCATATTGGTTTAAACGGATATCCGTTTCTGGATAGCAAGGATGAGTTTCAGCATACAACTCTGGCAGCAGATGTCATGCAACCCAAGTAAGCAAAAGATATACATACATGCATATATTTTAAGATTCTGCATACATGCACATATGTGTATCTATTCTTAATTTTTAGGCGAAACGAAGCTCTTCATGTTCTTACTCAAGATTCGATGACAGTTGAAGATGTAGAGAATTTGCTTAAAGAAACGGAGCATAATGGTTTTCCTGTAATAGTCTCTAAAGAATCTCAATATCTCGTTGGTTTTGTTTTACGACGGGACCTCAACCTTGCCATTGCTAATGCCAAAAGAATGATCGAAGATATTAGCAGACAATCGTTAGTTATTTTTACTAACGGAAACAATATTCAAAGTCATTCGCCTCCGCCTTTGAAATTAAAAAAAATATTGGATATGGCCCCTATCACCATCACAGATCAAACTCCTATGGAAACTGTAGTCGATATGTTCCGAAAATTGGGATTACGACAAACTCTAGTGACACATAATGGGTACGTATATAAATCTCTTGTATTCAAATAATCTTTAAGTTTATTTATAAATTAATATCGAGGTTTTTTCTCTCTCTCATGCAGGCGACTACTTGGTGTAATTACAAAGAAAGATGTTCTGAGGCATGTAAAGCAGCTCGACAATGAGGATCCAAATTCCGTTTTATTTAATTAAACTTTGCTGCTGCAAATAGCCAATTTGAGATTATGAATTCGATGAAATAACATAATAAAAAAAAATATATATATATATAAATATTATATAATAAAAAACATATATAAATAACTGTTTTTAACAAGAAAATATTAGAAATAGATAAATTCATCATCAATTGTTCGCTCCTGATTGTCAAATCCTTGAAGTAGTTTTATTAAACGATCATATAATAGAGTTTTAGCATCGATGGCCCATAAACAATCTAAATGGGTTAATAATTTATATGGATTTTCCTCCAGCAGGATAACGTTTGGCAGCTGCTTGTATATCTCAAGGACATTCTAAGAACAAAAATATAGAAA